AAGAGATTGTACAATTTTCTGGACAGTGCTTATGCTTCATTACACACCACTTTTAATATGGTAAAGCTAAAATAAAGATAAAGGGAGTATAATGATGAATGTAGGAGACAATCCATCTTTTTGTCAAGAATCTTTCTCCACTCCAATGCTAATATAAAGGTGTGTTTAAATAAATATAGGTAGGTCGATTTTTAAATTTGGCCAGATATTGAAAATATATTCTGTAATCTACTCATAGTAATAAATAATTGTGGGTGAAACTAGCATAAAGTAAAAGTATTAGTCATTTCTTTCANTTTCTCTACAAATTTCATTACAACGGATTATTTTCCTTTTCAACTTAATCTATCCAATGTGACATATATATAGTGTTTGATATTCTGGGACTGGCATAGTGCTTGGTTTATTGTCAATATTGATTTGCTAAGATGTCAAAAGAGTCGGGTTACCCGAAATTAAGCTCACCGACCCGAAAGTAATCAAGCATTAGTTTCTATAATCCAAGCCCAAACATGCTGAAAATTTTGTAATAATGTCGTGTTACCCATTGAGCTAAAAACCAATTTGGGCCAAAAATATATAACCTTCATCAATGAATAATTAATTTGTTGGGCTTGCTCATATATAGTTGAACCGGAAAGAAAAACCAATGATCTTTCAATTAATAAGTAATCAACATTACGATTAAAAAAAAATACATATTTACTTCAAGAATGAACCTTATTTAGCGTCCACACTAGTTAACAAAAGTATCATAACGCCTGTTTGACTGTTGAAATCAACTTTAGTAACTTTTTATAACAAGTGGGTTTGGATGTTTGCAGTGTGATTTTTAAAATCTATTAACGTTGGTTAAAAGGTATGATAAGAACATTAATTAAGTGCATTAACAAGTATATAAAAATATGATACACACAAATAATAATAAGCATTATTGATAAATGAATGTGGGTAGAAGGTTTGACAGAAACTGGGGGAAATGGGTGCTGGCCCACTACCATGAAGGATAACATGAAAGAAGGAAAAAAACCCATATGAAGCCCAAATGGGGTTCCATCCCAAAATCAATTGGCGGAAGGAGGAGTAGCCCATTAGTCTTATAAGGTGGGTCTATTTTCCATATATGAACGATGTGGGACAACTCACAAGTGATATTCTAACAAGAATGATACTATTGAACTGTAAACTGAGCTAACAAGCACACAAATATCAACAAAATTTGCTATGTGGTACTAAGAAGTACTACTACTATTGCATTTTTACACCCTACACCCTTTAGTAGTGTAGCACCGAAAATGGTTGGGAAAAGCTTCTTTTGGAAATATGAAAGTAACCAACATCCAAATAATTCAATTGCATCTAATGTGTAGACCAAAAGGTATAGGCCTACTCAGACTATAGCAACTTTTTTTCTTTCATTTATTAAGCTAAATAAATAAAAAATAATAATAAAATAAAAGATGTGGTCCTTCACATTTTGTATTTCATGTCCGTGGAATGTCGATTTACTTGTATGAAACGGGTTCACGTGCTAGGCTGGTCATATGCTTGGAGCAAGCTTAGCATGGTGCCACGTCCGTACACAAACGTCATCGTTGGGACCTTTATGAACAAAGGATGACGTCACTCGAATTCTGGTTGGCAGCCTTTGGGCCTTGGCCACTATCATTTGTTTTGGAGGATATACAATGTTACATCTCCTTCATATCTCAATCCACTTTAATTTGGACTTTGTGATATAAGGTTGACTAGATTAATGTCTCTTAGCTAGGTTATATTGTATGATGGGTTGTATTGTATGAATAAAATTAGTTCTATATTTACAATTAATGATGAGAGTTCAAATGAAATAGTGTTACAACAGTACTCTTCATTACATTTATTTATATTAATAAGGGACGATGAAGAGATTACTATTACACCCTGGACCGTGTGTTATCACATGAGTGAGGGATTCGTTTGGATATAATCACGAATTGAGTAATATCACAAGGGCTGCTATCATGGTTGACAAAACTCGGATAATCCCTTGATTGAGTTGGATAATGCATCCCATTTCACCAATCAATAAATAAGTCATCAATATATATTTAGAATCGGAATGTCACCTTGGATATGTATCTCACTAATTTTTCAATCGCCTCATAACTTAATCCATCATGTAGTAATATGATTATTCGCTATTTATTTTTACTATCCGCAAATGTAAGGCATATCTATATATAGTGGTGAATAGACATGACCACGGTTGGACCGGCCCGTGAACCGGTTCCGGACCGGCCTGCCCTAGCCGATTTTTGAACCGGCCCAGAACCCCTTAAGTGTCGATTATGTGTCGTCTTGTACTCCTTTTTGACTCGCGGGGCTCGGGGTTTTCGACAGGTCATAGTTATAATTTTTTTATTTTTTATTTATTTATTTTTTTATTTTTTAAACGGCGGTTCATCGGGTCAGTTCATTGAACAGACCCTTAGATATAGCCACATAAATTACTGTAATATTAATTAAATATTAAAATAACAACGATTAAATATTATTTAAGTTGATGCAAATTAAGAGATTGATTATGAATTAAAAAATTAAACTAATAATTAATTTATCTAAGAAATAAAAACTTGTGAATAATTAGAGTAAAGCATGATAATGAAATAAAGCATTTAAATTCAAGAAAACCTTATTTAATTTTACCAATCGTAAAGATAATCACCAAATTAATTTAACCTTTCTCTCGAAAAAAATTAAATTATTAATTATTATTTATCTCCTCTCGATCTCAACATGAACAACTAACTACGTAAGTTCCTAGGATTTTTATTGTCTCTTAAGACCCTATTAACCTCTCGGTCTATTTATGCTTTTACATTATAAACTCCTCAATTCTATTAATCAATTATTGCTTTTTGGACTCAACCAATCACAAATATGTATTCATACTAACCATCTACTCATACAATAAAAATAAGTACATAAAATTCATAAAAAAAAAAAGACAAATCGAAAATAATATAATAACAACTATATCATAATTCAATCTGATTACTAACAAATCTAGGAATCTAAGATACCTTTACCCTAGAAACATGCATATCAAACTAGAAAAATATTGACAAAACATTGAGTTCGAAAAGAGAAAAGAAAAAAAAATGTTTATTCGACTTCTTCAATCTCTTATTCATGGCTTTCTTTCTCGTCTTGTGTGTGGTCATAGCTTTCAAAAGTATCTAATTTTTGAAAAACTCTTTATAAAATGTGCCCTAATGTTTCTCAAATACCTAAGATCGAGTCCTAACCGAAATAGGTTAAAAAAACTCGCCTAAAAAGGAAAAAACATGTAAAACCCATTTTTGCCGTGCCCAGGTAAACATGAATCGTGTGGTATATTACACAAGCCACACGACTCATGTGAAAATGCTAGAGTTCAACTTTCAATTATTCGGAACCCACACAACTCGTTTGATGCTACACCCGACTTGTGTTGGTTCTAAACGTTCATAACAACTTAAACCCGACATTTTTAGTACCTGCAAAAGGCCTTAGCCAAATTTCCAACGTCTCTCAGCCCCAGAGACGTCCAGCTCAGAGCACCTTGCCGACCAATGCTCTCGATTTAATGTGGTCGCCACAACAACCTTCATATACTTCCTTTAATACGTATTCTCCGCCCTGGTTAGAAAAACAACGTTGGTGCAACCCCTTTTAGGAGCGTTTATATAATACTCCGTCCTTCACAAAGAAATTTAGAGCCCTTCTCGCAATCGGATCACTTCATATATCCTTATCTGTTATTGGCTTGTTCAGCCATCGCACCAATGCCGACCTCCACTCATCTAACTCTTCACATTCTTCGACCTCCATAATGAGCTTCGATACGCTTGAGCCCATTTCCAATAGAATTACCGACCTGGACTTGCAATTTACCAATGTGACTATTATCTTTGACAAGAGATCTGCCTTAGTATTCTCCCCCATGGGAATTTTCACAAGCTTCGAGGCCATAAAGCTTTTTACCAACAATTTTACATCAGCAACATACCTTCGCATACGATCTTCTTTGGCTTCGTACTCGCCCCTCACCTACTCGAAAACGAGTTGAGAATCAGAATGGATGATTACTCATTGGCCACCTTCCTTTGCCACAATCTGGATCCTCTTGATAAGAGTTTCGTACTCCACCCCATTGTTCAAGGCTTGAAAGATAGTTGGCCGTGCGTCGTGACACGACAAATTTAAATTGATAATGTTTCCCTCAACAAACCTCCACCAACTAGTAAAAGCGACAGGTAAGGGTTGATCCCACGAAGAACTAAATTGTGACTATTCTCATATTAATCGTAATAAAGCTAAGAAAGTAATAAAAATTTGCAAGATTTTTTTTAAATAAAAAAATTAACAAAATAAAATGAATGAAATTCAATTTCCGGTTCAGTTATCATCCAATCTAAATATAACGTTAATCAACTTCAACGCTTTCTTTAAATTGCTAACAAATTACCAACTCTAGTCAAGAACAAACTCTGTCAATTAATTCATTATTCATTCACTCACATAATTTTAATTAACATCACTTCATATCATATCTTTCTTACTTTTACATCAAATCAACCTTAATTATTTTATTTTAAATATTATTTTAATATAAACTCAAAATCAACTAAAAAATAATCATACAACTTTTTTAAAATTAACAATAATAAACTAAAATAATCTAAAGGAAATCAAAACATCTTATCTTATATCCATTTCCAAGAAGTCAAAAGGTTAAAAAAATAACCATCTTATGTTTTAACCGCCGTCAAAAGTCAAAAACCCCGAAAGTAAAATAACCATCTTAGAAGCAGCGGTTCAGAATTCCTTTACGTGTCCACTTTCAAATCCACAACAGCTAACCGCCCTCTTTCCCTCCAAAATGTCCGCCCCCTTTCCAAGCCCCTCCAAATTCCTTTCCGGAGCGAGTCTTCTTGTACGCTTCCGGCGCGCATTAGTACAGCGGATACATCGCCATGTCTTCATCGATCCCCGCCGTCCATCCAGGAAGAGTCCGGGTCCTCAAGCCCGGCGTGGATCCGAAATCCCCGGGCCAGGGGCCGGTTGTGTACTGGATGTTCAGGGACCAGCGGCTGAGGGACAACTGGGCTCTCATCCACGCCGTCCATCAGGCCAACCAAATGAAGGTGCCCGTTGCCATAGCCTTCAATTTGTTCCATCAATTTAAGGGCGCGAAAGCTCGGCATCTAGGGTTTATGCTGAGGGGGCTCAAGAGATTGCACTCTGATCTTCACTCCACTCTCGAAATCCCCTTTTTCTTGTTCCAGGCGAGTTCTCCATTCGGTTTTGTATAATTACTCTATTTTTTTTCCGTTCTTGTTTTGAAAGCGTAATTATGTCTGTTTTTTGTGTTCTGTTTGGTGGTGATTATCTTTTTGTGTAATGTACTGCGTTGAAAAGATACTTCACTGTGATTACAGAGTTCAGGCTGTAGCATAGTAGCAATCATTTGGCTTGGGCGCAGCTTAAGGCTGCTAGATATAATGAGTCGAATGTGCATTGAATGGTAGAAAATGTTGGTAGCTGAAATCTGGCATACTGGCTCGGTAAATTTGTGCTGATATATTGTGTTTTTTCGTTTTGATGCAAGTGGATGATATCTGGCGTGATACTTTATGGATCCTGGAATTTTGGTTTAGGCTCATTTATATATAGTACCTTGTATAAGAAGCTTTGTAAGTACTTGGCTGGTTGAGGTTGTTTATTGCTGAAGTGTCATATAGTGTTAGCTGGAGAGATAAATGATTGGTTGTTACATAACTGATTCCTGGTTACTCACTTTCTTGAGCGTTCAAGCATGCTAAGCAGGGGAACAAACTTGAGAATATGCTTACAGATTGGTTCAGTACTCAACCCAATTCATTTAAGCAATTAATTTTTGGCTTTTGACTCAGAGCATTTAGCTTGTACCAAAATGCTTTATGTGGCCTAAAAGCATAGAAGTACAGGAGAAATAATTTCTTTAACCAAACTAGTGGAATTTGTATGTGTAATGTTACATTTGTATCTGTACCTGTTTTTGAGTCTATACTCTCATCCATTTCCCTATCTCCATCCAATTATTATTACTCAAATTGTTGTATAAGCGTGTAAGAAGCAGCTAAGAAAGCGTTGAGCTAAAGATTATCTATAATCATATGACAGCTGAGAGTTTACTGAAGTATTATTGTATTTGACATTGATTAGAAGGGGATAAAGTTGTTTTGCCATGTCGGCTCATGTTATCTTATCTTGGATTTGATCATAGGGTGAGGCTGTGGACACTATTCCAAATTTCCTAAAAGAATGTGGGGCTTCACTTTTGGTGACAGATTTCTCACCATTGCGTGAGGTTCGGCAGTGGAAAGAGGAGATCTGCAAGAGGGTGAGTGCGTCTGTGTCAATTCAAGAAGTCGATGCACACAATGTGGTTCCTGTTTGGGTTGCGTCCGACAAATTGGAATATGGTGCCAGGACTATAAGGAACAAAATAAACAAGAAGCTTGCGGAGTATTTGGTCGATTTTCCAGAGCTAGGATTTCAGAAGCAGAAATGGTCAACCTCCATTAATTATATAGATTGGGATAACCTCATCTCAAGTGTTGTAAGGTGAGGTTTCATCAGCATATGCTGATTGTACACTCTTTGATTCTTACTATGGTTTAGGCTAAACATGTTGGGCAGTACAACTAACAATATTATCAGGCAAGGAGCAGAAATTCCTGAACTAGAATGGTGTGAGCCAGGTGAACGTGCTGGATTGGAAGTACTAGTAGGGGAAAAAAATGGGTTCTTGAAATCAAGATTGAAGAATTATGCCACGGACAGAAATAATCCTATGAAACCCAAAGCTCTGTCCGGGCTCTCTCCGTATTTGCACTTTGGGCAGATATCGGCACAGAGATGTGCCCTCGAGGCACAAAAAGTTCGAAAACTAAATACGCAGGTATGTGGTTTTATCTGATAAGAATATAATTTGGGAGTCATCCATGATCTATAGTATGAAACATTTGACGTGAAGTTTGTTGGTGACTACTATTATGAAGGCAGTTGATGTTTTTCTGGAAGAGTTGGTTGTACGAAGAGAACTTGCTGATAACTTCTGCTTCTATCAGCCACATTATGATTCTCTACAAGGTGCTTGGGAGTGGGCTCGCAAGACATTAATGGACCATGCAGCTGATAAACGCGAACATTTATACACGTGAGTTATTAAGATGTTGCTCTTGGTGGATTCATTTATTCTGAGATGATTACATCTGTGAGAAATTTTCTGTTCTTTGTAGCCGAGAGCAATTGGAGAAAGCTCAAACTGCTGATCAGGTACGTAATTAGTGCTATAACCATGTATTAGCATTCCCTTGAAACCGGAGTTCACGTATCTAAAGAGATGTAAAACAATGCGAGGCTCAAGTTTTACGTGTCCTTATTGTTGTTTCTTAATTCATATTGACAGAAATCTCGCCTTTTTCTCGTCTTCTCGCAGCTATGGAATGCTTCACAGCTAGAACTGGTTTACTATGGAAAGATGCATGGTTTTATGAGGCACGTGACTTTCTCATGGATCTCTGATCATCATTGTTAAAGGGTGTTTATTTTCATACTTAGACCTTGATGCTTTATGATAAAATCGTATTCACCAATTATTGTTCCTCGACCTCGTAAGAGAGGTTGACTGGAAAAGAATTGTATATAATGTGCTGTTTTGCATGAAGGGTTACTAGATGTGTTTCTACACCCATTACCTATAGGCAGTCAAAAACCTATGCTTTGCTTCTTGGTGGTCCTAATGCAAAAATGCAGTGTGCAAATGTTTAAGTTTTAACTTAAGTCCTATCCTATATTTCAACTGCGCTCGTACAATTTCAGGATGTACTGGGCAAAGAAGATTCTTGAATGGACTAGTGGGCCTGAGGAAGCTCTTGCAACATCAATATACTTGAATGATAAGGTGCAGAAGTTTTTTTGCTTTTCTCCCTTCTTTTGCTCTGCTTGTGTATCCATGTTCTGATACAAAGTATTTTCCCATTTATATTGTCTCACGTGCAGTATCATATAGACGGCAGGGATCCAAATGGCTATGTCGGATGCATGTGGTCAATATGTGGAGTACATGACCAGGTGAACTTGAATTTGTGCACCTGGAAATCCATAATTTTCAGTTAGTTGTGTGAAAAGCTATCGGTGGGAAAATATTCGTAATTTTTTTTAATTACTATTATTATAATATTAATACTGAGGCTTGTCGGGTCATCCAGGGTTGGAAAGAGAGACCAATTTTCGGGAAAATACGATACATGAATTATGCCGGTTGCAAGAGAAAATTCGATGTGGATGGCTACATTGCTTATGTTAAGAGAATGGTGGGTGAGTGCAAGAAGAGGAAAGCGGAAAACCTGCTTAACGAGAAAGCAAAAGAACTGCGTCGTTAAGTGATGGCTTGCTCAATCAAACATACATTGGTGTTAACAGTTTGATATTATTATGCTAAAGTTATCGTGTTTTGGAGATGTGAGTTGCGCTGTAGATTTTCCCGGCAAAGGCTGAACTTAGGAGAACGCCGAATTCCATGCATTTGTGAAAGTGGTATGTAAGTGAACCTACTCTGAACTTTGTACAATGTAGCCATAGGTGAAGTTCTTTTTTGCTTTGTCTGTGGATGGGCAGTGTGGAGTGTTCATTCAGTAGGTATTTAATCTTGATTTTTGAAGACATTCTAAAGTCCACCAAAATTCCAGATTTTTTTTGTGATTTTCCGTAGTCGTAAGCTAATTCGTGTTGTCTACATTGTCCAGATGAGTGACTTATTTTTGTACCTGGTTTGTTAGACAAAAAATCTTTCTCGCTTCAGTATGATGATTATATTCCATTTTTTTCATGCGCAATATCATTTATATGATAAATTCAGTCCAGTAATCTGAACAAAAAGATAAGGTTTTTGTTAATTCAGAAATTTTGAAATTCGAGAAAAAATGGTTAACTGATTTTAGAGCATTTTTAATGACATATCAACACTGATACTATAATTACTGAAGATTTAATTATTGAAGAGAAGATATGCTCCAATCGCTTCTCGCCTCTGGTAAAACCAGTTGTGGACTTCATGGACTACAATGTCCATTTATAGACGGCCCTCTTCACTTTTGCATATCAGTTTGTGACCTCAAAAATTTTTAATGAATGACCCTTAATTAGCAGCCTGTTTATTTCGAAGCCTTCACATGTTGATAGTTAGTTTAAACCATACATTTTTTCACTCGAATTAGCCCGAGCTATCCAGTTTAACATCACTATTGAGAAGCCCATTTTGTTGTATCAAAAGTCAAAAACTCTTGTGAATGTTGTGGTAATATTAGAACTTTTGTGAACCAAAATTTAGAGATCCTTTTGATATATAACCACATGGCTATTTGGAACAAAGTTTGGCCATTTTACATTTTCTATAGTATGCACACGAGACTGGAAAAAA